GTGAGTGGTGCACTTAGGAGTCTGTGGAGACAAAGAACTTTGTCCTTAGAGGCAAAGGGGGGAAATGTAATGAGAGTATAGTTTTACCAACGCTCTTAATGGGTGTGAAGCGTGGGTGATGAATGTTGCAGCGAGGAGAAGGTTGGAGGCAGTGGAGATGTCATGTCTGAGGGCAATGTGTGGTGTGAATAAAATTGCAGAGAATTCGTATTTTGGAGTTAGGAGGAGGTGCGGGATTACCAAAACTGTTGTCCAGAGGGCTGAGGAAGGGTTGTTGAGGTGGTTCGGACATGTAGAGAGAATGGAGCGAAACAGAATGACTTCAAGAGTGTATCAGTCTGTAGGGGAAAGGGAAAAGGTGGGGTAGGGGTCGGCCTAGGAAGGGTTGGGGAGGGGGTAAAGGAGGTTTTGTGTGCGAGGGCTTGGACTTCCAGCAGGCATGCGTGAGCGTGTTTGATAGGGGTGAATGGAGACAAATGGTTTTAATACTTGACTGCTGTTGGAGTGTGAGCAAAGTAACATTTATGAAGGGATTCAGGGAAACCGGCAGGCCGGACTTGAGTCCTGGAGATGGGAAGTACGGTGCCTGCACTCTGAAGGAGGGGTGTTAATGTTGCAGTTTAAAAACTGTAGTGTAAAGCACCCTTCTGGCAAGACAGTGATGGAGTGAATGATGGTGAAAGTTTTTCTTTTTCGGGCCACCCTGCCTTGGTGGGAATCGGCCAGTGTGATAATAAAAAAAAAAAAAAATAAGTTTACTGAGTATACCAGGAAAAGTATATGGTATGATTATAATTGAAAGAATTAGGGGTAAGACAGAATGTAGGATTGCGGATGAGCAGGGAGGTTTCAGAGTGGGTAGGGGATGTGTTGATCAAGTGTTTACATTGAAGCATATATGTGAACAGTATTTAGATAAAGGTAGGGAAGTTTTTATTGCATTTATGGATTTAGAAAAGGCATATGATAGAGTGGATAGAGGAGCAATGTGGCAGATGTTGCAAGTATATGGAATAGGTGGTAAGTTATTAAATGCTGTAAAGAGTTTTTATGAGGATAGTGAAAGGGTCAGGTTAGGGTGTGTAGAAGAGAGGGAGAAATACTTCCCGGTAAAAAGTAGGTCTTAGACAGGATGTGTAATGTCACCATGGTTGTTTAATAAAATTTATAGATGGGGTTGTAAAAGAAGTAAAGCTAGGGTGTTTGGGAGAGGGGTGGGATTAAATTATGGGGAATCGAATTCAAAATGGGAATTGACAAAAGTTACTTTTTGCTGATGATACTGTGCTTATGGAGATTCTAAAGAAAAATTGCAAAGGTTAGGGGATGAGTTTTGGAGTGTGTGTAAAGGTAGAAAGTTGAAGGTGAACATAGAAAAGAGTAAGGTGATGAGGTATCAAATGATTTAGATTAAGAAAAATTGGATATCAAATTGGGGAGGAGGAGTATGGAAGAAGTGAATGTTTTCAGATACATGTACTTGGGAGTTGACGTGTCGGCGGATGGATTTATGAAGGATGAGGTTAATCATAGAATTGATGAGGGAAAAATGGTGAGTGGTGCATTGAGGTATATGTGGAGTCAAAAAACATTATCTATGGAGGCAAAGAAGGGAAAGTATGAAAGTATAGTAGTACCAACACTCTTATATGGATGTGAAGCTTGGACGATAAATGCAACAGCGAGGAGACGGTTGGAGGCAGTGGAGATGTCCTGTCTAAGGGCAATGTGTGGTGTAAATATTAATGCAGAAAATTCGGAATGTGGAAATTAGGGAAAAGGTGTGGAGTTTAATAAAAAGCATTAGTCAGAGGGCAAAGAGGGTTTGTTTTATTGTTTTTGGGCATTTAGAGAGAATGTCAAATAAATACATGAAAATATAAATCTATAGGGAAGAAGGAGGGAAGGGGTTGTCCTCGAAAGGGTTGGAAGAGGGGGTAAAAGGAGTTTGTGGGCGAGGGGCTTGGATTTTCCCGCAAGCGTTTCGTGAGAGGTGTAGAATAGGAAATGAATGGAGCTAATGGTACTTGGGGGACCGGGCGATCTGTTGGAGTTTTGAGAAGGGTAATATTTTTGAAGGATTCCAGGGAACCGGTAATTTCAATAGTCGGACTTGGTCCTGGAAATGGGGAAATACAATGCCTGCACTTTAAAGGAGGGGTTTTTGGGGTATTGGCAGTTTGGAGGGATATGTTGTGTATCTTTATACGTATATGCTTCTAAACTGTTGTATTCTGAGCACCTCTGCAAAAACAGTGATAATTTGTGAGTGTGGTGAAAGTGTTGAATGATGATGAAAGTATTTTCTTTTTGGGGATTTTCTTTCTTTTTGGGTCACCCTGCCTCTGTGGGAGACGGCCGACTTGTTAAAAAAAAAAAAAAAGTTTTCTTGAGATTCATTTTTTCCAACAAGAAATTTAAAATCTTGGTTATTGCTCTTCCTGTAATGTGCAGTTTTGGAACTAGCACCTGACACTGAGCAAGGTATGCCAGTGCCTATGTATTTATAGGTGAGTAAAGGCAGTTGGTATAAGGTTGTACTGTATGCCTGTACTGTATGTCTCATTCTGACCACAAATCTTCACATGAAACCATTCAGTTGTGAGTATCCTGATCTGAACTGTCCTCTTTGTTTAATATCTACTGTAAATGCAGTGCTGTATGTTATAAATATCAATTATTGCAGTTTTTTGAATGTGTATTTTTTATTTTATTGATGTAAAATTATTGCACAGACTTGTACTGGACATTATAGTATTTTTTTATTATAATTTTACTTATGACCGGTTTCAGCTTGCTCTCTTGCAGTCCAGTTCGCTCCTTTTATCGTTACCCCTCTTCCCACATTTTCTAGAATAGGGAAAGTGAGTGTGTTGATGCCTGGCCGTTACCCCCATCCACCACCTACTTTCTCTTCTGTGGGTAAGCTCTGGCTCCTGGGCCATATGCTGACCCTCACAACCCTTCTACATTCCAAAGTTCAGCTTACTAGACCTCTCTGGTCACCTGGGATCTCCTCAAGAACAGTGGTGTCAAGAAGTATTGAAAAAAATAAACAATATGTAGATTTCCAAAGCCCTCACTCAGTGCAATAGTGCAACATTATAGCATTTGATTTTTTTTTTTCAACAAGTCTGCCGTCTCCCACCGAGGCAGGGTGACCTAAAAAAGGAAGAAAATCCCCAAAAAGAAAATGCTTTCATCATCATTCAACACTTTCACCACACTCACACATTATCACTGTTTTTGCAGAAGTGCTCAGAATACAACAGTTTAGAAGCATATACGTATAAAGATACACAACATATCCCTCCAAACTGCCAATATCCCAAACCCCTCCTTTAAAGTGCAGGCATTGTACTTCCCATTTCCAGGACTCGAGTCCGACTATATGAAAATAACCGGTTTCCCTGAATCCCTTCACTAAATATTACCCTGCTCACACTCCAACAGATTGTCAGGTCCCAAGTACCATTCATCTCCATTCACTCCTATCTAACATGCTCACGCACGCTTGCTTGAAGTCCAAGCCCCTCGCCCACAAAACTCCTTTACCCCCTCTCTCCAACCCTTTCAAGGATGGCCCCTACCCTGCCTTCCTTCCCTTATAGATTTATATGCTTTCCATGTCATTCTACTTTGATCCATTTTCTCTAAATGACCAAACCACCTCAACAACACCTCTTCTGCCCTCTGACTAATACTTTTATTAGCTCCACACCTTTTCCTAATTTCCACACTCCGAATTTTCTGCACAATATTTACACCACACATCGCCCTTAGACAGGACATCTCCACTGCCTCCAACCGTCTCCTCGCTGCTGCATTTACCACCCAAGCTTCACATCCATATAAGAGTGATGGTACTACTATACTTTCATACATTCCCTTCTTTGCCTCCATAGATAATGTTTTTTGACTCCACATATACCTCAACGCACCACTCACCTTTTTTCCCTCATCAATTCTATGATTTACCTCATCCTTCATAAATCCATCCGCCGACACGTCAACTCCCAAGTATCTGAAAACATTCACTTCTTCCATAGCATTTGATATCAAATGCAAATACCCTTGAAATATGTTGGTAATGCTTTGTACTGGTCTCTGTACACTATTAACATAATGTGAATAGGAAATTTATAGGTTGTGAATAAGAAGGAAAATAGAAGAGCATATAAGGTGCATTTCAAGAAATAAGTCATAGGAATGTAAATAGAAGGAAAATTATATAGAGCACAAGTGATTAAGCTTCAAATTTGGAATGTACAAAGAACAGAAAAACAAATATAAAGCTTTTTATATAATTTTTTAACACCTCAGTTCACAGCCTGAGCTGTTAATGTGCCTTGACTTATTTCAAAGCCCAAACCTGTCTAAGGTATACTATTCTCCCCCAACCTCCTCCTTTTCCAAGGATGTCATCCATAGCAGTCAGCTAAGGTGAACAGGGACAATGGGTGTGAGAAAACATGTCCGTCTCTTCCTGCCTCAGGATCAAACCTGTATTATGGTTATAAGCCAAAGGTGCTTTCTATGAGCCCTGAACCCACTTAGTTTTTTGTAAATTGTTGCAGTATTACCACATACCTCTACAGTACTGCTAACAATGTGAATTTAATTATAATAAAGTATCCCTTTTAAATTAGTATTTTCAGTAACTTTGTAATTGAAATTGAAATGTTTATTTCTCTGTAAAGATTACAATGTGTGGTTTACATATTATAAAATATTAATTACAAAGAAAGCCACTAGTATGTCTAGGCATTTCGGGCAGTGATATGCCTTTCTAATTAGAAAAAATAATCCATATGGAGACATTAAAGAAAATAGCTGTTGATCTTGGTCTGAGATTCTTTGGCACTGAGGTCAAGATATAGAGAAAGCTATTCTCTTTTCTATCCATAAGGGCTATCTTCTCTAGCAGACAAGTGCTCATTACATTTTTGATGTTCCAAATATCTTTAAGTTTGTAATACAAGAAATTTCTAATCACTCAGGATTTTACTGGAGTACCTGCAGTAGTGGATTTTGCAGCCATGCGGGATGCTGTTAAGGAGCTAGGAGGAGATCCAAAGCTCATAAACCCTGTGTGCCCAGCTGATTTGGTTATTGATCATTCCGTCCAAGTGGAATTCTCTAGAACGTTAGTATGAAATTATTTTTTCAGAAGGGCTTAAGCAGATATAGTTCTCTAAACACTATAATAGAAGCTATATCAGTAGATACGAAATAAAATCCCATTAATAAAGTAACTTCAGGTTTATTCATGATATTGTTTTCTTGCTTGTGTGTGTTTGTTTATGCTCACATTTACTGTATAGAAGCTTGAATGTCTTCATTATTGGTCTCTGTTCTTAAAAATTGCATCTTGGATTATTCTTGTATTTATACTCTGTTCCTTTTGTATTGTTCTGTTCAGTACAGCCTCTCCTCACTTAGTGACGTACTCGTTTACCGATGACTCAGACTTATGACGAGCTCTCTGACCAGTATGCATACCTAAATAATGTATATTGGAGCTGATTTCATCTATTCTGTTTATTACAATATACAGTACACTACTGTATTAATATTTAAAAAATACTAAAAATGTTATAAATGGTGCAAAGGTGACATTAAAACAATATCAAAGATGGCTGACACAGACCCACTACCATTATGGTATTCTCCTTGCTTAATGATGAATTCGTTTACTGATGTGGTCCTAGGAACGAGACTCCGTTGTTAAGTGAGGAGAGGCTGTATAATGTTCTTTCTTATCACCTGGATACAGTGGCGTGTCATGAACAGATTGCAAATGATGCTGTTAAATTTTTTGATGAAATTGAGGTATGAATATTAATAAATATTTGTATTACTGATTCATTTAACAAATAAAACAGGAAGTAGTAATCTAATTAAATTAACATTTTAAACATAGTTCAAAGGAGGAGTTCTTGACTTTTTAGTAAAAGGATCCCAAACTTTTTAAAATTCTGCCCTTCTCTGAAAATTTTGCAATACAGCAATTCTTACAATATATACATATATAGAAAGGCATAAGTTTAAAAAGTGAGTATAGCCAAAAACAAGGTAATGAGTATCAGAAAAAATCTAGGCAATGAAATATTGGATATCAGACTAAAAGGTGGTGGTTTGGAGAGAGTAAATATGCTTTACAAATGCAATTATTTCTGGGACTTTTAAAATTAATTTACAAAGTCAAGCTATTTAACTGTAGCATTTTCCAAGTCATTCACTATATAAAACTGAAAATTTGTTAGTTTTATGTTTGAATTTTTATGAATTCAGGGAAAAAATAGTTATAATCATTTTTCAGTGACTGAAAACCAAATTCTGGAATTTTTTTTATCTCGCAGAATGAAGAAGTATTTAAAAGCTCTGTTTTAATGAATCCAAATTTGCTGATCTGATATTAACTGGTTAAGTGTTGTTGTATTTCTGCAGTACTGCTGGCAGCAATCTGTAAGGAGTAGTAACGGAGGGACAAACAGAATATGTTGTGCTGTCGTTTTCCAAATTTATAGAAGAAATTACCAGTAATGATGATTATTTTCATTGAGAGGAAGTTCTAGCATCAGAATGCTTTCTCACAGCATGTTAGATTGCTCTAAATGCTTTGTAAATGGATTTGGGAAAAATTGGCTTCATATAATCAAAATTAATAGTTTGTCTTACGTCTGACAGCGGCATATTATTCTACCCTGCAAGAGGGCAGAAGTTACCACAAAACAAATGTTGCGTATTCCAGGGACAGATTTTCAAGTGGCAGACACTCATGTCTAGCAAGTTTCTGAAGTCTGGACTCCTGTTACACCAGGTTTAAATTCGTTGACGTAATTATAACTATATAATAAATAATACATTAACTGAATAGAGATGTTTTAATTTTGTAAGGAAGAACTTTTGTAGGGTAAACAATGCTTACCCTGTTGCTTACAAATACAGCCTCTCCTCACTTAGCGATGTACTCATTTACTGACGACTCTGACTTACGGTGGGCTCTGACCAGTTTTCATACCTAAATAATGTATATTGGAGTTGATTTCCTCTATTCTGTCTATTACAATATACAATACACTGCTTTATAAATATTTAGGAGATACCAGAAATGTTATAAATGGCACAAAGGTGATATTAAAACATCAGAGATGGTTGACACAAACCCACTACCATTATAGTATGCTCCTCACTTAGCGACAAATTCGTTTACCGACGTGGTCTTAGGAACGGAACTCTTGTTGTTAAGTGAGGAGAGGCTGTACATGCCACTGCTTAAATGTATGTTGCATTTGTTAACTACTTCCCTCAAAGAATTTACATATTCTTATGCCTGCTTTTCAGAAATGTTCTCAGATACAGCATTCCTCTCCTCCCACTCAAGCATTACTGCATGTCCTCATTTCTTACATCCTCATGCACCATAGTATTATTTTTCGCTTTCAGTTGCAATAAAGTTTTTCTACTTGTTTTTCCTTCTAGCAGCATATGAGTTTGTGGGTAACTCGCCACCAAAGTGATATTTTTTGAAAAGCCATAATTTATTTTTAATAGTTAATGATAAAAAACAATGAGGAAAAATGTCTGAGGTTAATTTAGTTGTCTTTAGTAAGCAGAGTAATGAACCATGTGCATAGTACAGTACTGTATTGAAGTGACTTTCCCTGGTTATGTTCACTTTATATTCATCATTACATGAACCCTCCTACAAATATATAGTGTGTTCACATTAACACCAAGCAGATCTGCAACACTTAGTTATCCTAATTCTTAAATAGTGTATATGTGATCCAGTGCCAGTACCGAGATGTGATTATCATTGCCGTGAATACGCTTTCTCGTAAAATCATGTTGCCCTGGGCTTGTTTTGCAGACAAGTGCATAAACTACTGTACATACATAAACTCTGATCATCCACTTGCTTTGAAAGTCATTAACCATTTGGTTTTGTAGATTTAATTTTTTTAGTTGTGTGTGTGCATCACAGATTCTGATCTAAAATACAATGTTTCATACATACTGTATATATAGATAATGTGCTAACATTGTTCTTGGTTTGGTTTATTGTAAAGTGGTTAACCTTGAATGCAACCTCATTCAGATTTTCATTTTAGTTTTACTGTCAGGCATTTTCTTATTTGTAATGTCCCTTATTTCTAGCCTTTGCATGTCTGTATATTACATGTTAATAAATTAATCCATATCTTGTTTGTTTTTATTTGGCTTTTCTATAATGCTTATCCCTGATAGGCCAGTTTGGTTATAATATGGAATTGAAATATTCTTACTTTTTTTCTTGCCTCCAACTTTGTAATTGAACAAAATTTGTGTTATTCTATTCTTTGTTGCTACTCTTAATCTTGATGTGTGTTGCCATCTTTGTTACCGTTAATCTTGTGTGCTGCCATCCTTGTTACTGTTAATCTTGTGTGCTGCCATCCTTGTTACTGTTAATCTTGTGTGCTGCCATCCCTGTTGCTGTTAATCGTGTGTGCTGCCATCTTTGTTACTTGTTAATCTTGTGTGCTGCCATCTTTGTTAGTTGTTAATCTTGTGTGCTGCCATCTTTGCTACTGTTAATCTTGTGTGCTGCCATCCCTGTTGCTGTTAATCGTGTGTTGCCATCTTTGTTACTGTTAATTTTGTGTGCTGCCATCTTTGTTACTGGTTAATCTTGTGAGTTACCATCTTTTCTGTTGTTAATCCTTTCACTGTCTCCTACATAGCCATTGATGCCAGTATCGCCTACGTAGCTCTACATCTTAATCATAGTGCCCTCAGTTATGCTGTGATGGGCAAATTTTGGTCTAGAGATGAGAGACTAAGTTTGTGCAGTGGTGTAAACAGTGAAAAAAAAAAAAAAAAAAAAAAAAGAAAGAGCCTCTGTATAGTGTATGATGGGAACAGCTAACCTTTTATCTTGTGCTTGGTTAAAAATAGTAACATTGTGGCATATTGTAGGGTGGTTTTCAAAGTTTTGATGGCCGTTTCTTGCTGTTAGTTTGGAGAATGGATTATATACTAGTGAAGGTGATTTTAATTAATTTTAAACTGAAAATATTAATTTTTTGCAATTTTCCCTAAGGAACAGCTGCACATATCTCCCTTAGTCTGTTTTATGAGTTTTTAGGTCTGCTTCAATTACTGAGTTGGCTTAAACCATGACCAGTCCTTCTTAGTCATGTTTTATTATGTGAGAAAGAGGATAAAACAACTGCTGCTGCTGCTTTTATTTTTTATTTTTAGTTTTTTCTTATTCAAAATGGAAGACAGGTGTTGTATAAGAAAAGCCTGTGGATGTGATTGATAAACAGCAGAAAGGTTGATTTAGAAGTTGAAATACCTACATTATTAAAATTTTAATTGGATTTGTTGAACTTTATGCAAAATTCCAAAATACTGACTTGTACGCACTTTATAGAATGGAAGGCATATTAGTAAAATAATCAGGAATTGGGTTGGTTTGAGCCATGTAATTGGCCTAAAATAGGCCTCAAAGTGGGCAAAATAACTGATGCGTAAATTGTGCTCAGACACCAACTTCATACCTGCATATTTCTGCAAGTTTTTCATCAGATATGGCAGTTATGGCATTATTACTTTTAGAAGAAAAAATTATTTTTAGAAGATAAACTTTTTAAAAAAAAAAATCACCACAATAACGGCACTTATAATTTTAGAGGTTGTGACAGTGAAAGGGTTAATCTTGTGTGCTTCCATCTTTGTTGCTTTTAACCTTGTGTGCTGTCATCATTGTTGCTTTTACCCTTGTGTGCTGTCATCATTGTTGCTGTTAACCTTGTGTGCTGTCATCATTATTGCTGTTAACCCTGTGTGCTGTCATCATTGTTGCTGTTAACCTTGTGTGCTGTCATCTTTCTTGCTTTTAACCTTGTGTGCTGTCATCTTTCTTTCCTTTAACCTTGTGTGCTGTCATTTTTGTTGCTGTTAACCTTGTGTGCTGTCATCATTGGTGCTGTTAACCTTGTGTGCTGTAATTTTTGTTGCTGTTAACCTTGTATGTTGTCATCTTAGTTGCTTTTAGCTTTATGTGCTGTCATCTTTGTTGCTTTTAGCTTTGTGTGCTGTCATCTTTGTTGCTGTTAACCTTGTGTACTGTCGTCTTTATTGCTGTTAACTTTG